ACTTTCGCGAGATTCGACAGTTTTGAGAATCGTGAAGCTAACTGAGAGGCATTAATTATATGACTCGTAAAACTTTCTCGATTTTTCATTCGCGACAAGCTTGAAGTTAATTCGAGGTAAATTCGATTCTCATTCGTTGACAAGTTTAGTGCGAACAAGAAAACACTGATTATGAAATGCGTCTGCGAAGTTTGTCATTTTACGTTCACAGAGTCTCTTCACGACTGAAGTAATTACCGTATGCATTATTGGGAACATATTCGCGTTAGTGTATTCATTTGTGAATGCGAATGTGACGAATATATACAACTAAATTTTTGGTTGAAGCAATAATAAATGAGAATAATTAAACCGATAAGTGAATATCAAAAATAAAAGAAGGAATTTTATGTTCGATTGAAGCGGAGCTTGATGTTTAATAATATTCATAAATTTTCAAATACATTTTTCAATTCTATAATTCGTATGCCGATTCGGTTCATTGAACTTAAAACTCAATCATAAACTGAAGTTATGTTAAATAGTACCATAAGTTACATTGTCAATTTAATCTTAATCAGTATCTTAATCAGTATTCGCTCCAAAATTTCCTTAACTGATAGGATTCAGTATACTTTAAATTAGTGTATCATTGCTTAAAGTTAACGTAATTGAACAATCTTTTTGAAAGTCAAAATTCGAGGAATGTGATTATATAATTTAAAATTATGCAAGATTGTGAAAAACGTTTGTTATATAAACAATTTTTTACATAGCCGAAGAAAATCCATAGGAATATATTGATTAGAGCTTGGATTAGAGAGTTAATAATAATGCTAATCTTAAAATAGAGAATTTTGGCAAAAAATGTCCAAAATATATCCAAATATAAAAGACTTCACACGTTTTTTATGGATTTTGGTTCTCGGTCAAATCTTCTTATATTTTGGGAAATTATATAGTTCCAAGTGTCCCGATTGAAAATGTCAATGGGCGCGATTTATCCTAAAATTAACAGTTTTCGAGATATAACTGTTCAAACTTGGTTAATTGTTATTTCGATATAAACATAACGATATAAACAATCTTGATCCCACATGATTCTACAGACTTAAAAAAAATACTTAGATCAACCTTATAATATGCGAAATGAGATTCATCTAGATATTTTTTTCGCTATAGGATCATGTGAGATCGAGAATGTTTATATCGCCCAAATCCGAAATAATACCCACCCATATCCGAAATAATAGAATTAACTAAGTTTGGACAGTTATATCTCAAAAACTGTTAATTTTAGGAGATCGCGCTCATTGACATTTTTAATCAGGACACCTGGAACTACAATTTCCCAAAATATGAAATTTGACAAGAATCAAAATCCATAAGAAACGTGCGAGATCCTTTATTCAAAATCCACACAAAAAAAACATTTTGTGTTTGTATGAGAAACGATTTTCACTCAAGTTCTTATTAAAATTCTATTGGGTTGTCCGGAAAGTTCGTGCCGATAAAATTTAAATTTTAGTATACATTTATTAAATTAAAATTTTCTGTGTTTCAATTTTCCTTCAACATCGGCACGAATATATTAAAATTTTTAATATATCTATGTGTTAATTTAACATAATTATTATTTAAATATTTTGTGTTAAATTCATTATTTTTTAGTGTTTAAAATAAAACAATTCATATATAAGTGAACAAATTACACAAAAATAACATTTTTTTAAACATAAATTCTAAAATAAATGTAACGTGTGTTAATTTAACATATTATAAGTTAATTCTAATGAAGAAATATGATTGTTTATAAATTGTGTAATTATCACTTCTTTTTTATAAATTCTTTACATAATATAATATCTTTACAGAATGTAATATAATTACTTTCTTCTAACTTATTCATCTTATGTTAAATTAACACAAAAATTTAAATGGACCGTTTGAGAAACGTATTAAATCTAACACAAATTTTCTAATTGCATGATTTATGCAACGTAACATGAAAATTACACTTCTACCATCTTTTGTAAACGCATATTGCATATATTACACATGCACGCCGGAACACAGATTACACATATTACACGTGTATCGAAGCACATGTCATTCACATTAGATCTATGACAGAATTCATATCGAATCCGCAAATGCTGATCTCATCGTGTCGCTAGAATAATTTCGTGAAACATATAGATCCGTTGCGATGCGATCGAGCTGCGATTCGTAAATCCCAGAAGGCATTTTTTTTCCTAGTTGCTTCCGCACATTATTGAATATCGTCTATTTGTCGAGCAACGTCTTCTTACTCGTTTCGCCACGCTTATCGCGTCACTATTTCGCCAACTTTTCCGTTCTATTCTATCTCAGCCTCCCTCCGTCTGGGCCGAAACGTGTTTGCCAGAAATATCAATTTGCGCGGGAGTGGTAACAGTTTGCTTGATTTGGCACGGCGTAGCTTACGTCCGAAATAAATCTTCGCGAATGCAGTGTCGACGGTGCCCGCCCCGGAAACCGATTGTCTATACGGATTTGACATGAGTGGCGCACTTGTCCCAGCTTTGCGGACGATATCTCATTTTCGATTTGCATCTTATTTATTTTCAACTGGTTGATATTTTGATTAAAAAAAAAAAAAACAGATAATGCGCTTTCTACTCTCTACGAAAAACTACTTACAATTAGTCTTATTTGATTGTTCTTCTTAAACTTGCTGAGATCATAAGACAAGATTCTGTCGTTATGTTAAAGCCGTGTGTTATGTAAAATTAAAAGCTGCTCATTGACAAGCGCGATAGTAGAAGTGCATAATAAATTAAAAGTATAATAATTGTAAAAAACAAGTATAGTAATTGTTGTTGCGACAACGAGCGTTCTATTGCGTGTAAGTAAACGTGCTTAGAAAATAATTCACGTCGTAGTCTATTGATATTTTGGAATGTATAATAATGTCATTAGATATTTTCAGTAGACTTTCTTAATACTATTTTTCCAATACTTTTTTTATGTATACTTATTTAATTATTTAATTTAATTATCAATTTTTCTTCTAGAATTACTAAAGTAAATTAATTTTTAAATTTTATCGACGGGATATAGATAGTGGCACAGTGATGGAAAAAAATTAGAGAAATCTAATTCTATAAACAAAATAATTATAAACTGATATGTTATCGGAAATAACGAAACATTTATTAATTATCATTTATTATTATCATTTATTCACATCACATTTATTATTATCTAGTTTTTGTCTTTTCTTACACTTTGGAAAAGAAAATCGTTTTACAACGTCATTAAAGGATTTTCGTATATGCAATGTTGGAGGAATATCGTTTTACTAACATAAGTTTTATTTAACTATGTATAATGTGGATTATATTTTATGACAAATACAAGAAAGAACACAAATAAGTGAAGAAAGCCTTATTTGGTCAAAGTGGATTTTGAAATCTAATAATATTTTTTTGAATTTCATAATTCTCAGTTTATGCAAACTGCGTGTCGATTATTTGTCGGTCTTGAAACGCAGTTCTACACTAAAATTTGAGTACGCAATATCACAAATTAAATTGACAAGCAATTTAATAATATTGGTATTAATGAACATCTTTAAACACTGTAAAGAATTTATTTAAATATGAAATTGTTATTCTATACAAACAATATTAAGTGAAATAAACTCGAGATGTGTTTAAACATGAATAGGGAGAAGAATGTGTCACATTTGGTCAAAGTGAATCTTGATGCTTAGGAATATTTATATGTGAATATATAAATACAATTAACAGTTCTATAGACTGTGCGACAATTCAGTTTGTCGGACTTGGAATACAATCATGAACTGAAATAATAATCTCATAATTAAATTAAGTGATCGTTGATTTAATAATAATGCAACTATCATTCATAAAAACCTGTAAATAACTTATTATAAGAAATATCCTCATTTCAGTAGAAATTCGAATTTGAATTGCTTGAATTCGTCCACCGAGACATGTTATGATACATACACACACACACACACACACACACACACACACACACACACACACACACACAAACTGGCAAAGGCAGTATATGTGGAAGAATCTTTTTCAGGGGACGAGATAAAAAATAATATTGTATATATATTATTTTGTACAAATTCTATCACACATAATGCACATCTGTATTAGATTGAGTTCATTTTTCTAAAGTTCGTCAGATTGCGCATCGGAAATTGAGAATTATGAATTTAAAATTAAAATTTAACCAATCAGATAATTTTATTTTTAATCCGTTTCATTTTAATTGGTTGAATTCTAATCTTCAATTCGTAATTCTCAATCTCCAATGCATAGTTTGATACGGGTTCAAGATTTATCGAACGAACAATCTCAGTCGATAACGGAGTAGCAATTCATGATGCCCGCAGCCTTCTCCGAAATCGCGGTCGTTACAAAAGCGACTGATGACGGCGGTTTTTCGCGTGTAAGAAAAGCCGACGAGAGACCACACGCGGGAAAATAATAACAAGAGGAGTGCCTGCGGGGTTTAGGTGTAGGTGGACCAGGCAGGGAGACGAAGGGAGATAGTGGAGGATGCATAATTGAATGAAAGCGTGGCGAACAGAGCCAAGGGGTAGTTCCTACGACTGGGAGGGGGTGGAATGCTATAATTTCAAGCCAGACAGTCATGCGTTATTCAGCGTTGAGGTACAAGCTCTCGTTCTCTCTCTCTCTCTCTCTCTCTCTCTCTCTCTCTCTCATCTTTGCATTTTCTATACGATTCTCTGAAAGGGAGAAAGTACCGTTCTCTTCTCTCCTTTTCATTTTGTCGCACTTTGAGATCTCCATTCTTTGCCTAATTCTTGATCGTTTTCTTGATTCGTTATCCATTAGCGTTTCTAATTCGTAACTTGTGAAATAAATTGATGTGATAATAATCATTACAATGACATCGAAATATGTCGAAGACAAAATTCGCAAAATCCTTATAGCATTCAAACTATTCTTTTCTCTGTTTATTATATTCAGGATAGTGACAACATCTGGTGGGAGTCCTTTGCAAACGAGTTCTTCGAAGAAGATGCCACCCTCACCCTCCATGTCTGCTTGGAAGATGGACCGAAAAGATATTGTGAGTACCACCTATTATTTGATCCCAATTTACCTTTCAATCGGCAGTGCAAATTCGGAAAGAAACGTTTAAAAATTGTTATACGTAATAAAATTAGGCAGGATCTAATACATTATCTAATACATTACTAATCTATTACATTTTACTTCTTGCTAATATTATATTGTACGGAATTTTATTTTTAATTAATAAGAAAGAAAGTTGGTTTCTTTCGGCTCGTAAATCATATCTAACTCAAGAATCTGTCACTATAAATCTGTCACTATAAATAACGCACGAAAGAACGTGACGTTTTTTTCATCTAAAAATTTAGTTATTATTACTGATCTGAAAACAATTTTGATAGTTTCAAAATTGTTTTCATCAGATCAGTACCTGGCTAAATTTTTAGATACAACATTGAACTATCAAAATAATTACTAGCTCAGAAACTTGCTAGAATATCAAAATTTTTTCAGCATTGCTCATTATAAATAATTATTTTGATGATCCAATAAAATTACTTCCAGATCCGTATCTAATTAAATTTTTAGATATTTCATCAAAATCTTCATTCTTTCTGTGTGTATGAATAATACAGTACACGAGTGAAGTATCTTTATTTTCATGAAAGGAAAAGAAATTGCAAAATGAAAAGATTGAATTGCAAGCAAACACATTTTTTTTAGAAGCAAAATGATAAACTGTGGAGTGGAGTTTCTATGATATCGCATATGCTTCTGCATTTAATGTGATCGATTTTCTCCAGATAATTTCCGCGAGATAATTCCTTACATCTTTGCGATATCACGGTTCACACATTGTCACTGATACTTAATCGCTGCCAAGCTCGTACGGTGCCACCTCTGTTCTAAATAATGACGTGCCACCGCGCGGCAATCTTGCAGTCGGTGGATTTTAATGTCTGTTCCGCACCACCGTCTCGAAAATATACGACGACAATGTGATTACATGTCGTGTGGATACATGTCGTCGTCATCCGAGTATAAATGACAAGGCATCTGCGCAATAAGATGCGCTGGAACGACCGAACGAGTCCGGTGATGCAAAATACGTTTTGCAATTAAAGAGAAAAATAAAGATATTTTTCATTTGTATGTTTGTCCGCCAACGTTATGTTTCGGATTTTATATTTACGTCGCTTCTTCATAAAATTTTATTCGTTCTTCGTGACAGTTTGTTATAAAATTAAACATTTTTGAAAATTAGACGCGACAGTTTGTTGTAGAATTAAACATTAAAATTTAAATGTGACAGTTTACTTTATTTAGTCATTCGCGAAGATACCAATTTTGCAGAGGTGCATGTTATCGCGGAGAATTATATTGTGCCCAACATAGAGCAACATCGACCGTTTTAAGAGAGCTGTCGATTTTAATCGTCACTTTGCTTTCCTCGCAACGTGTTCATTGTATTTGTTTCTAATCGTTTCTATTTTATCCTTTCAGCGATAGGAAGGACGTTAATACCCAGGTACTTCCGTTCGATATTTGATGGTGGAGTAACGGAACTTTACTATACTTTGAGGAATCAGAAGGAATCGTTTCACAACACCAGCATAACGCTGGACTGTGATCAGTGCACAATGGTTACGCAGTATGGAAAGCCGATGTACACTAAGGTACGAATATTCTACAGAATTTATTGCACTTGTAGTAGAAAACTATACGTTTCAGATTATTAATATTTATGTATTTAATTGTTGAGTTAAACAAAAATAACTACAATGATTGAAATAGATAAAAAAAAAATAAATATGATACAATATACAAATGACTAGAAAAATTTATATAATATATACTTTTAATATATAGATTATGTCATTATAAAAACTGAATGCTGATATTCTGAGTTGGTACAATTAAAAAAGTCAATTGTTCTTTTCTTGAAAAAAAAAAAGAGATATCATAAAGATAGGAAGGATTAAAGTTTAATTGGATCTCTGTAATTTCTGTAAAACTGTTTCCTAGCAGGAAGCTTAAGTCCTGCGAACTCTCTTCAGGGCAAAATCAAGCGCCCTCGAAATAGCCGAAGCGAGTATTGTCATTCGAAAACTTATTTTAGGTGTTAACGGAGGGTAGGTTAATATTGGAGTTCACCTTCGACGATCTCATGAGGATAAAGTCGTGGCATATGTCGGTGAGGACGCATCGGGAACTGGTTCCGAGGAGCGTTGTCAGTATGCAGCAGGACCCGACAATGCTTGAGCAGATTAGCAAAAACATCACTAGGCAGGGCATGTCCAACTTCACTCTCAACTACCTTAGAGTACGTATCTTCCGTACTGCGCTGTCTTAATTTTATGTTGATGCATCAGTGCCAGATTGGCCGCATTTTAAGTGAATGGAAATTTTCTTGTTTTATTAACCTGGGAATAATCACTTAATTTTTTTCACGATCACCTATGATTTTTACACTCCAATTATGTCACTATTATTAATTGTATATTTTGATTATTTTACAATGTATTAGTATTTGAGTTTATTATACATTGTATATTTACTTTTATGATTTCTGAAAAAGATAAGAAGAAATAAAAAAAAATAGATATAAATTATTAATCAGTACAAAAAACTGAATTACTAAGCTTTATTTTCTTGCTACTGGGTGTAAAATCATCTCAATGTCTGTATTCTGTAACTTTTAATCTACTACAATTAGTTATACTGCCATTTGTGCAGTTGTTTTATTTATCACATATAATACATGTCAATGATATAATGATATCGACACTGTCATTAAGAGTTACAAAATACATAGTTGAGTATTCCGGGTTAAACTTTTTTGACGATAAAAATCGTTAGCAAAGCGATTGAGTTCAAAAGACAAAAATAGATAAAAGGTATAAATTATGTGTTTTTTTTATTAAGTTTGATATAAATGAACGCAAAGACTTTTAGAACAAATATTTAGACCACAAATTTGGAGTAAAAAGAAAAAATACATTATGCATAAGTACATGCTCATTTAGATAAAAGTGTGCGAATCATTGTACATGCGAAAACACGAGGAAGGGACATTATGTTGTATATTGCTTTATAACGGAAAAAAATATCGACCGCGACATAGTACTTAGTCAGAAAATTATATTGCAGCAAGGTGTGTCGATGCGGGGCTAGATCGGAACACGGCGTATTCCTGTCTTCTCGAAAGTATCTCCGGCTATCCGGGTTACGAACCACCTTCTTTCCGCGCTCGGAAGCGCTTTCACCGGGGGAGGGGGACGACCGTGCATTCCGCGTGTATCGTCTCGAGTCAGTTGAAAAGCCCGTCGATTGTTACGTCGGGAAAGTCCTCGCCCATTGTTGAACTGGTATACGATGTTCGGAAACGCGTAGGAACCGTCTCGAATAATTTCTCCACGCGGGTGAAAACTCGCCAACGATGAAAATAGGCTTCAGTTGATTTATGGATAGATGAATATATCGTCATCGCGCAGAATTCCAGTTGTTCCTTAAAGTGTGATTAGTTATACTCACCTTTTATACTTGCCGCTACTTTAACGTGATGCAACGATATTATTCACTGTATAGAAAATATATAGAACGCAAATATAATTCCCGAAAATATATACAAAACGAATTGGCAGAAATAAAAAAAAATTTATATATTTTCTATGAGCTTTCAAAGAAGTTGTTTTGTTAATTTGCATTAAATATTTTATTAGAATGTTATCAAAATTTCTAGGAATCATCTAAAAAAGTTTTTGTTATATACAATATTTGTTCATACATTCAAGTTTAATCCTCCGGAGCTAATGATCGGTCTGTTAGAGATTAAATCTTTATCAGAAATGTCAAATAATTTATTCTTTATGTTATCTGCAAGTTCGCATTATTTTTATTGAAATAAATTTAGAAATTTATTCTTTTTTATACTAATTATATTATTTTAGTTCGAAATTAGTTCCTTTTAATTAACGTAAATTGAATAAAGTATTATTAGCACTAAAACTCGCCTTGACTAAATGTGGCTCTCTTCTTTAATTTGTATTGAACATTTCTCGTCCATTTTTACTTATATGTTTAAATTAAATGAATTTTACAGACACAGTGTCGAATCAATAACTATGTTGGCGTTAGCTCCGGACAGTTAAAAGAACACTATCAAAATTGAATTTATAACTTGATTTAATAATCTTTCATTAGAAACTATACGACGATTCTTTTACAGTTATGCGTGATTCTGGAGCCGATGCAGGAACTGATGTCGAGGCACAAGGCGTATGCGTTGTCACCTCGTGATTGTCTGAAGACGACCTTGTTCCAGAAATGGCAGAGGATAGTTGCCCCGCCGGGTAAGAGAGGTAGACGAACAGTTGCTTTACATGAGAAGCACCAGCCAGTGAAGCCGAACGGCCATTCGATCCTAGTAGACAATGTGAAATCGGTTTTTGCTATTCGCGGAACGACGCACTGTTCGTTGTTAATTTTCTTTACCGCTTTATCGAAATTCTTGGTTCCACCGGTTTTTTCTTATCAAGCGTGAAACTTGATGATCTTATTCGAAATCTTCTAGCAATTAGATGGACTTTTCTATTGATAGTCTTGTGTCGCTTGCTTCATCGAATTTAATTCAAACATTTAAATTATTTTATGAAATTATATTTAAGGATTACTATTTAAGAGCATTACTATGATTGAATTCTCTATTTCCTTTTAATTGTATATATATTAATTGTATATACATTAATTGATAGCATTGATTCGCTTATATTATTTGCGAGACATGGCTTTTAGTATCAGCTTATCGCCCATCTTTATCGTGCTTGTGCGTGCACCGCGTTTTCCATTTCACTTGCGATTTTGTATATAGCTCATATATATATTTACCCGATGTTCATTTAAACTTGATAAAACCGTGGAACCAAGCATATAAAATACCAAATAATATATTGCCAAACGTGTTTCTCTGTAAACATCGCTTGAGAGTGCAAAGTAGCTCGTGGGAGAAAGATAGAAATAAACTTGACACATATCTATGTGTTTGTCTATTAATGCATGCTTGTGCTTGTGCGTGTCAGAGACCTTTGATAATGAGAAAGGTCCACAGCTGGGTAGTGCTCTTAAGTTTATCAGTGTGTAGATACACACGTGGCCGAATATGGCCAACGAATGCACGCAGCGTCGTGTTCACGACGATTTCCTTCTTTTCCAGAGTCTCAACGACCGGCTAGTAAAAGAAGAAAGCGGAAGGGCAGTACATCCGGACCGGGCAACAATGCACCTCCTGCGCCCAGCAAGAAGCGTTCACCAGGGCCAAATTTTTCTCTAGCATCGCAGGTAAATTTTTCGATTTGTTTTCTCAATGAAGCAGCACATCGTCGATCATGCAACGTCGTCAAAAAAGCAGGCTAAAGGTTGACTAAATGATTTTTTACTTTCATGTAGGATGTGATGGTCGTGGGTGAGCCTTCTTTGATGGGTGGTGAATTCGGGGATGAGGACGAACGATTAATTACAAGGTTGGAAAATACGCAGTACGATGCCGCAAATAATCTGGATCCTCATAGTCATGATGCATCTGGTGGACCACCGCCACATCCTCATCAGTTCCACTCGGAACCAACACCGGGTAATTCTTGGCCACCAGATCGTGGTCCTGGTCCACCACAAGGAGGTCCTGGTAATCAGGTAATCATCTTTCTACAGCAAATCAAAAATTTTAGATTAAAAAATGTGCCTACACCCGCATAATTTATTTGAAGAGCTCTAGATATGCAACAAGTCTAAAATTTTGCTGAATTAGTTGAACTAATTTATGAAAATAACTGATATCAGATATTGAAACTATTACTTGAGTTCTGAATTTGGAGATTGATGTCATTATTCGGTTGATATCTCGGAAAAACCAATACTAAAGATGCTCAACTCAACAGAAGATTAAAGAAAAGAAAAATAAAGTTTAAGGAAAAGGTATTGACTTTAGAATACTATTCAGAGAGCATCATATAAGTAATGTGATTCTAATATTATGTCTTGCATGTGTGTGTATGTACTACTTCAGGGAGTTCAAGGTGGTCAAGCGGGTGCGGCTGCAGGTGTACAGGGAACGCAGGATGCCAGTCAACAGCAGCAAGACAAGAAGAGCCCCGCGGTGAGCCAGTGAGGCCAGGAGTCCCCGCGCCCCCCCACCAGGGGGCGACGGGGGCGCAGGCCCAAGAACGTGGCTCCCTAGCGGGGCGAGAATCCTAGCCTCCCCACTGCCGCCGCCTATTTAGCCTCCGCAGCCGGCTCCATGACTGGCAGGTTGTCGTCGCACGTCGGCATGCTTCCGACGCTGGCCTGTCAGCCCGGCTTGCCAGCAGCAGCAGCAGCAGCAGCAGCAGCAGCAGCAGCACCAGGCCACCATCATCCGGAGCAGCATCCGCAATTGGGTCATGTGGCCGCCGCCGCCGCCGCCGCCGCCGCTGCCGCCGCCTCGATGGGCATGGAGTCTTCGGAACTGATGGCGGTGGCTCATTACCAGGCGCAACAACTGCAACGGCAGTTGTTGGTCGAGCAGTCAGGTCCGGGCACCACGATGCTGCCGCCTACGTCTGCTCAGCCTACTGGTGGAGGCTTGATGCAGCCGCAGGGACTCCAAGGGCAGCAGCCGGGCCAACTTCAGCCGGGCCAGGACCCGCTACAGAGCTTGGTGCAGCAATTACTCTGTCTACAACAGATAGAGTATTTCCTCGCGCAGCGCGGTCACAAATGATTACACTTAATCATAACCATAATAGGGATTATTTCGTGCGGGAAAATGAGAGGATCGGACCAGATAACAACGTTTGGGACTCGATGCGAGCGGGAAACGTGTTTGTGCCGGTGCAAAAGTGTTCTGATTCGCCGATAGGTAAATTTCGCGCCAAATCATTATACAACCCGCTGACGCTGTTAATGCTGCGATGCTGTTGAGAATGAAGACGAGGACGATAATATGCCGCGGCGGCATCTGTTCGAGTTTGTATGGTTTTTCTAATTCTCGAACGGAGGGGAGGTTGCGCGGTGTCTCCGAATTCACCACGACGATATACGGGAAGATTGCAGAGAAACTGAATGACGGAAGCGGAAGAAAGGAGAAGAAAAAGAACGGCAGTTGCACCCGTTTATTTGTGGATTGCTCTATCGCTTCGAGGCACTGTGCGGACGGACGGTTATCTCCAAAATGAGGGAGATCAAGTGTTTTTAGCGTGTGATAAAAACTTTATGTCAAAAATTATGTTAAATATGAAAAGTAGAACGATGTGACCGAAGGAAGTAAAGAATCATTTGCGGATGAAGAAGTAAGAAAAAGGAATGTTAATGCCACGCGCGTCAGAGACGATTGTCCGCTTTGATGCGATCTGTGAATGAATCTCTATCCGTCAACAGTATTGATATAATTAATAGAGTAAATGAATATATATAAAATATTGTAAGAACTATATCGTAAGTACGTATTTGTGCAAACGTCAGTGTGCAAGTTAGATAGAATGAGTGGTGTGACAATAGTTCGGGGT